GGCTATATTCTGTTAAGCCATTGGCCAAAAGCAGCTTCTTTATTAACCAATGGTAATAAAACACTCATAGCATACAGAGGGGAATCCCACATCACTTTTTCTTTTAGGAACTTATAAATCTTGGAGATTCTTAGGTACCTGATTATACCTCTTTAACCATCCAGTCCTGAAAACAGATACACAATGCTATGTGAGAGAGGGCTAAAAACATTAAATTATTTTAATGGTACTACTAGGCTATAGATTTGGCAAGATGTCTTAGTGGGTAAAGGGGTGAGGCCTTGAGTTTGACTTCTGGTACACACATGATGGGAGAGCCAACTCCTGTGAAAGTTATTTCCTTACCTCCACATACACAACGTAGTACCCATGTGCCCCTGCCCCCACCTCTACAAACATGCATTCACATACATTATTTCCAAATTTACTGATCCACATAGTCACAGGCAAAGCAGCTGGGGAATGCGGTCTTCTTCCCCAAAAGGAAGTCTATCCAATAAGCACATGCCCACACGAGGGATGCTCATGAGCAAGTGGTGTGAGGGAGAGTGAAATCTAGGACTGGTAGAGTTGGCCCTGATCCTGCAACCACACGCCTCCGGGAGGGCACGCAGTCTCACGAAAGGATGGGCTGGACCACATTGAACAAGAGCCTTTCACATAGGGAGTCTTCCCAGTAGAAACAGGCTCTCTCCTCAGTGAGTACATCCCATCTCCCCTGGTCAGAGCACCCGCAGTAGGTACAGCTGACAGACTTCTGTATCAAGGGCTGAAACACTAAGAATGGACTGCAAAAACTGAGGAGGCTCCACTTCTGCTTTGCAAGCATATCTGACTGCAGCAGTTTTGCAGGTCATTTAAATTGAGGAGGTGGGGAAAAGAGCCTCAAATGCACTGGTAAGCATAAATGTTTAGTGCTATGGCAAAAGCAGGTCTTTATGTTTGTGAAATTCCAAGTCTTAGCATTTCAGAGAGGTGGGGCTTGCCTCATTGTAAGTTTCCTTAAAATGTCAACAGTTTGAAAATGTTACGTCCTGTAAGCAGATGACTGAAGCCTTTTCCTGTACCCAATACATACAGTCTACATACACCAGGGTCAGCCGTGCGGTGCTGCAGGGTCTAACTCCCAGTCTTGTGGCCACTGGGGCCAGCACCGTGCAGTGCTGCGGGGTCTAACTCCCAGTCTGGTGGCCACTGGGGCCAGCACTGTGCAGTGCTCCGGGGCCAGCACTGTGCAGCGCTGCAGGGTGTTCACTCGAAAATGTTGATATTTACTGACTGAATAGCTGTTACTAGAACATGAAGTACTGAATGCTTATGATTTGCTCTTGTCCCTTTGCCACTAAAGATGCTCATTTTACTCTCTGAGACACCCCTCACTGTTTGCTGTAAAGCTCTGCGGCTATCACAAGCAGTTATTTTATGCTCTTGATCATTGGGTTTCCTTGCAGTTTGTGCAGAGAGTGCTGGCACACGAGCTGCTGTGCCCTCAAGGAGGACCCAGTTGTGAATATTATTTGGTTCTGGCTCAGACACATCTTCTCAAGAAGGACTTTGCTAAGACAGAGGAGTACCTTCAGCAAGCAGCCCAGATGGACTATCTGGTACTGATTTTCCTAGATAAAGCCTCTTGAATGGGAGGAGGGGTGCGACCAGGCTTTTTTAAAATGGAGATGACAGCAGGGCTCAAAAGTGTGGGTCTCAGCAGCTAAGGGGCTTGAGCCCAGAAGTTTGAGGTGGGCATAGGCTGATTCTGTCTCAAAACAGAGGAGTGGTACCATATCATGGAGAGAGTACTGATGTGCATGGTGTGTGTGTATGTAACATTTACACTTGTGTTTTTTCTTAAGTGAGCATGAGTTTTACAAAAGGTAAAGAGAATAAAGTGGGCATTTAGCAGAAATTTCTCATTATTTCAAGTTTCTAGACTTCTATTTGCTCCGAATAGCATTATCCTGATTACAGTTGAGTGTTTGTCTTAATAGTCACCCCTGAAGACCAAATGGCTTTGAGGAATCAGAAAATGAGAACAGACCTAGGAAATTACTCCCTAGCGTGACAAATACAGCTCTTTGCGTGTGCTCTGGAGAAAAGAATTGGTGAGGAGACCGTGTGATGATAGCACTGTACCTTTAATCCCAGCACTGCAGAGGCAGGCAAATCTTTGTGAGTTCGAGATCAGCTTGGTCTACAGAGTGAGTTTTGAGTTCCAGGACAGCCAGGGATACACAGAGAAACCCTGTCTTGATAAAACAAACAAAAAAGAGAAATGTACCAATCTAACTTTAAATGTTAAATAAAATTCATTAGAGACTGAAGTACCAGTCACCCTGCATGTTCTCTGCTTCCTCAGAACCCTAATGTCTGGGGTGTGAAGGGTCATCTCTATTTTCTGAGCGGAGACCACGCAGAGGCCAAGGCATGCTACGAGCGAACTATTAGTTTTGTAGTTGATGCTTCTGAGATGCACTTCATCTTCCTACGCCTGGGACACATCTACCTGGAGGAGAAGGAGGTAACAGAGAGAGAAGGCTGGGAAACCATGACCCAGGATCTGTCCGGGGCAATGGAGAAACCTAGAGCAACCCGAAGAGTCCCGCCCTCTGTCCTCCCACCCCCACCCGCTTTTTAGGGACCTTCATTTTGGTAAATCTACCCTGCAGAAAAGAACTCAGGACACGTCAGAATGAAGTTCTGAAATTTATTAAGTAGAAATACAGAATAACACAGCGTTTAGCTAAACATGGGTGGGACAGGAGGGAGTAAAATGGACGTAAGAGCAATACACATCCAAAATGGGCATGGGCTTCTCCAGAGATCAGTCTGAATATCGTCATATGAGCTGTAATTTTTTTTTTTTTTAGTTTTTCGAGACGGTTTCTCTGTGGCTTTGGAGCCTGTCCTGGAACTAGCTCTTGTAGACCAGGCTGGTCTCGAACTCACAGAGATCCGCCTGCCTCTGCCTCCCGAGTGCTGGGATTAAAGGCGTGCGCCACCACCACCCGGCATTGTGAGCTGTAATTTAAGAGGAGCTTTAAAGATTAAGCAAGGTTTTAAAAACCAGAGTGTAGGGGCTGGAGAGATGGCTCAGAGGTTAAGAGCATTGCCGGCTCTTCCAAAGGTCCTGAGTTCAATTCCCAGCAACCACATGGTGGCTCACAACCATCTGTAATGAGGTCTGGTGCCCTCTTCTGGCCTGCAGGCATACACGCAAAACAGAATACATAATAAATAAATATAAAAAAAAATCAGAGTGTAAAAACTAAGTTGTGGGGCTGGAGTGATAGCTCGATGGTTGTTTTGTCTCCATTCCTTTTCCTTCTTCACCCATAAATGTCAGTTTTTATATATTAACCAATAGGAACATGACGTCACAATGCTGGACAATGCACATGGGAAGGCTGAGCCAGGGCTGAGAGAAGTCACAGCCCTGCTGCAGTGAAGTAAATGAGACATCTTTCTTTCTTTCTTTCTTTCTTTCTTTTTTTTTTTTTTTTCGAGACAGGGTTTCTTGTAGCTTTGGAGCCTGTCCTGGCTGGAACTAGCTCTTGTAGACCAGGCTGGCCTTGAACTCACAAAGATCCTCCTGCCTCTGCCTTGAGAGTGCTGGGATTAAGGGCGTGCACCACCACTGGCTGACATTTTCTTTCTTTCATTGCAAGCTGCATCTTCAAGGCACTACTGACCTTATAGTTACTAAGCAACCAGTTCCTAGATTAAATATTCAAGGTCAGCTGTAGATACAAGGCAAGAAATAAGCCACTGAGTCCTACAGGGTCTTGCTGAGTGTGGCAGTGTGTACCTATGGTCCCAGTGCTCAAGGGCTTAGGTCACAGGACTCTTGAGCACAGAACTTTGAAGTCAACCTGGGGAAAATACTGAGGTCTTGTCTCAAACAACAAAAAAGAGACAATGGTCTAGGGATATAGTGCAGTTGGTTGAATGCATATCTATCATGAATACAGCCTTGAGATTAAATAAAATGGGGTGTGGTGGCACATCCTTGGAGTTTCAGGTTTCAGAAGGTAGAGGCTGGGGAATCAGTCATTGAAGGGTCAGCCCGGGCTACAGCAAGCTTGAGGCTAGTCTGGGCTATATGAGACTGATGTGGGATTTCCCTCTGTGTGCTGTGATTACCACTATAAATAAAGGAACTGCTTTAGGTCTATAGCAGAGCTATAGAAAAACAGAGCTAGATGGGGAAAACTAAACGGACCGCTGGGAGAAAGGAGGTGGAATCAGAGAGAAGCTATGTAGCCCTGCCAGAACTTTGCCAGTAAGCCACTGCCATGTGGCGATACACAGATTAATCAAATGAGTTATATTAATATGTAAGATTTAGCCAATAAGAAGCTAGAGCTAATGGGCCAAGCAGTGTTTTAAATAATATAGTTTCTGTGTGATCATTTTGGGGCTGAGCAGCTGGAAATGAACAAGCGGCCCTCCTTATAGCATGAATATTAAGAACCCAGAGACAGATATTTGGGTTCAAGATGAAGATCAAAAAAACAAAACAGCCAGCCACTGGTTCTCACCTCTACCTCAGACTGAAATGGGTGAGATTCTAGATTCTGTCTCCACAAATCCTCAGACTAAAGACTGAGCCTGAGACCTGTCTCTTCCCATTTTATATTCCTATCTAGTGCTAGGATTAAAGGCATGCACCACCACCCAGCCTCTATGGCTAACTAGTGTGGCTGCTGGGATTAAAGGTGTGTGCTACCACTGTCTGGCCTGTATGGCAGACTAGTGTGGCACACTTTATTCATTAGACCACAAATAGTATCCCACTATATCTGTCTCAGCTTCACCCACACTAAAAGAAAAGAGATGGAATCTTATTATATTACAAGACTGCCTTTGAACTTTTGGGCTCAACCAATCCTCTTCTCTCAGCTCTCAGACATTGAGTAGCTGGAGTATAGACTTTGCATCTGAAGGAAGTTGATCTTTGAATGTCTCTAAATATCTTCTGTGGCACATTTAGACTTTTCTGATAGGAGACCAGGTTCTCAGAGGGACCAGAGGTTCAGTGTCTATCATAAGATGCCACTTCCAAGGGAAAAGATTTAGTTCATAAAGTCTAGACAGAATTCAGATGAGCACTGTGCCTGCCCAGAATGTCCAGCGTAAGTCCCTCTCTCGTCTTCAGATCTGCTCCCAGGTTCTCACCCTTCTGACCTTTCATTTTGGCTTCCTCATCTCCCCCAGTCCTTTAAAGGAGCCCTGAAAATATAACCCAGTAGGGCAGTGGTGGCACACGCCTTTAATTCCAGCACTGGGGAGGCCGAGACAGGCAGATCTCCATGAGTTCAAGCCAGCCTGGTCTACAGAGTGGGTTTCAGGCTCCAAAGCTACAGAGAAACCCTATCTTGAAAAGCACACCCCCGCAAAAGGAAAAATAAAAGAAAGAAAATATAATCCAAGGAGTCACTCAATTCGAGATTATTCTGGAGCAAAACTGTCAAGAAGATCACAGTTACCTTACAACATGGTGTGTGAAACTTAATGTTGCTTTCTTTCAACAGTATGAAAAGGCAAAGAGAACCTACATGCAAGCCTGCAAGAGATCCCCTTCATGCCTGACCTGGCTAGGACTAGGAATTGCCTGTTACAGGGTAAGAAAACAGAGTCTGAATACCAGGCCCTGATTCCTTGGTCCTCCGAGCATATTGTGGGGGGTTGTAATGATGGTGGAATGGCAGTCTGCTCTAATGAAAAAAACTTCTTCAAAATTATTCATAAGGAGCCGGGCGGTGGTGGTGCACACCTTTAATCCCAGCACTTGGGAGGCAGAGGCAGGCGGATCTCTGTGAGTTCGAGACCAGCCTGTTCCAGGACAGGCTCCAAACCACAGAGAAACCCTGTCTTGAAAAACAAACAAACAAAAAAATTATTCATAAGGCCAGGCAGTGGTGGCACATGCCTTTTATGCCAGGACTCAGGAGGCAGAGGCAGGCAGATCTCTGTGAATTCAAGGCCAGCCTGGTCTACAGAGCTAGTTCCAGGATAGGCAGAGCTGTTACACAGAGAAACACTGTCTCGATAAAACAACAACAACAACAAAAAAAAAAAAAAAAAAAAAGGAAGAAGGAAGGAAGGAAGAAAAGAGCACTGACTGCTCTTTCAGAGGACCTGGTTTCAATTCCTGGCACCCACATGGCAGCCCAATGTCTGTAAGTACAAGTCCAGGGGATCCGATGAATGTAGACAAAACACCAATGCACATAAAATAAAATTAAACAAAATGAAAAAATTAAAAAAAAGAGAAAAATCTTAGGCAAACCTAGCCTGAGAAATCTGAGATATAAATAGACTGAAGTGAGCTACAGGGCTACACAACCAGCTACGGGGTCAATGTTATTCTTTAGCTTTTTATCATGGACAGTTTAAAATGTTGTTCATCTGTAAAGAGAAGAAAATGCCTTCTACTCTACCCTGCTTTGGCCGTCATTAACTTAAGGTCGCCGTTGTCTTCATCCTCAACATTTCTTTCCTCTGCAGTCTTTCAAAGCACCTGTGAGACATGGCACAGTTTATCTGCAAATCTGCTAACATGGTCAGCAGACTCTAAGTCCTGTCCTGTCCAGTGCCAGGGATGGGATTCTCATGTACCTAGGGTGGCCTCAAACTCAGTTTAGCCAAAAATGTCCTTCAACTCCTCATCTTTTCCCCTTACCTAACCAGTGCTGGGGTTGTAGACAGACGTTTCCCACCAAGGCTGTGAGGCTTCTGATGTCTATCATGTTCAGAGTCCCTGCCTTGAGGCTGGGACAGCACTTCCATCGTTCAGGAGGTAAAGGTGGAGGCAGAGGAAAGTAGTTCTTTATGGGGTGAAGGCCAGCCAGGGCTGCAGAGAGACCCTGTCTCAGAAAAATTAAAAAAAGAGTTTTATATGCATGATGTACTCAGTCATGCCCCATACCTTTGTAGTAGTCCCTTTAGCTCTCCTGACCTTGTGTGTCTAGTGAACTTCATGGTTCCTCTCTGAGGCTATCCTTTGGTGTTTGGGTAGATCCAATGCTGTTTCTCTTTGTTCCACTTCTGGATCTCAAGTGTGCTTTTACTACAGAAATATTTATTTTTATTTTGTAATGGAACTGTTTATGTATTTTATTTTTCATCATGTTTTGCTTTTTTGTTGTTTTTTAATGTATCTACCAGTGAGGTCTTTGACGGTCGGGGCGCTATACCTGCGCACGTATTTTCTTCTCAGCATCAAGTATACAAATGTGGAGTGACTGAACAATCAATACCCAAAAGCCCTGACGAGCAGGTCAAACATGGCCATGATTGAAAGGCTACTAACCCTTCATCTTTTCTTGGGCTTAGAAATTCACACACAATCTCTCTCTGCTTTGTTTTCTTTGTTTTTCAAGTCAGGGCGTCTCTGTGCAGTCCTGGTTTTCCTAGAACTCGCTCTGTAAACCAGGCTGGCCTTAAATTCAGAAATTCGCCTGCCTCTGCCTTCTGAGTGCACCACCAAAAATCTAGGCCTGGTGGCTCATGCCTATAATCGCAATGCCTGGTCAGCTGAAGTAGGATAGTTTCAGTTTCAAGGCCAGTCCTGCTGAGAGGACAGGAAGGCCCAGTCTCTAAATAAATAATTTTAAAACAAAATAGATAAAAAATAAGTTACTTTATCATGGGGAGGAGAGATATAATATATCTATCATATATCCATTCACAAATAATACCTATTAATAGTTACAAAATTATATAAGAACATGTAAAATATATGCTGCATGTGACCCCAGGGTTTTGAGGTTTTGTTTGGAAGAGCACATGGACATTTTAAGTGAAAAGCACTCTTCTCTCTCCCTCCGCCAAGCTGGAGGAGCTCACGGAGGCTGAGGACGCTCTCTCCGAAGCCAATGCACTGAATAACTACAACGCTGAAGTATGGGCTTATCTGGCTCTGGTCTGTCTGAAGGTAAGTGTTTCTTATTGTCCCTTCAAAAAGCCCTTTCAGGGAACAGGCAAGGGCCCAATTAAGGAAGGTAAGATGGCTATTAACACGTAATAACCCAAGTTTGATCAGCTCTAGATTTGGTCATTGTACTGATGACAATGGAAATGTCAGTTTTGGGCAGTCGCTCCTTGAAAAAAAGATTATGCTTAGTAATCATTAACTCACATGTTCTGTGCGTTTCTTTCAGGTTGGACGACAGCTGGAAGCTGAGCAGGCCTACAAGTACACAATAAAGGTATGCGGCAGAGGGCTGTAAGACCCAGAATGTAGATTGTGAACACTCGGTGCTTGATGGATTTCCGCCGAGGGAAACACACGCCCATGAAAACAACACAACATTCTAAGTCTCTAAGGGAGCTCCCATGGTATTGAGAATATCAGAAAAGCCCATTTTATCCCTGCAAATTTGGAGCCTCACAAATTAGGGTTCTTCAAAGCTTCATGGTGTGTGTTCGAGTTACCTGCTGTTTCCCTGTCTTGTTTCTGCAGCTGAAACTGAAAGATGAGGCTCTGCTTACAGAAATCCATGCCGTTCAGGAAATGGTTGGCTTTGGAGATCCATCTTTCTGACATTCCTAAAAATGGATATTCAATATGGAACCACAAGCATCTCACTTTCCTTTCCAAATTGTCACTACATGTAACCTGACCTCTTCCCCCTTAGCTGTTAACTATAAATCAGATCACAATTAAAAAGGAAAAATCAAATTTATCAGTGTTGTTTTTTGAGTCATATATTTCATATGTTTATACAATTATGTAACTAACTAATAAATATATTTTGTGTGTGACTATTACAATTTCTGATGAAGCTTATCATCAATTGCCAAGGTTCTTGACCAGCTTCAGTTACTGCTACTTGGACATGAAGGCATCATCTTCAAAGGTGAGCTTAGAACACTGTCATCTACATCACTGGGTAAGAGAGCAGAGGATATTCTTGAGGCTAAGCCTTTTGGGAGAGCTGAAAGAAAGGTCTTTAAGACAGACATACTAATTTCTTTAAATCAACCAGTTTCTTCATGGATGTAAATCAGGAGTGGCTTTTACACACCATTGTGATCAGAGTTGCAAAATTCACTAGTGAAGCCGTAATTCTAGGTCTTGAGAGGACAAAGAAATCATATCCTTAATTTCTTAGAACATGTTGCAGTAAAGGGGGGAAATGAACGCCCTCTCCCCCTTTATTTATTTAGTTGTTTAGTATTTATTTCGAGGCAGGGGTTCTCTGTGTAACGGTCCTGGCTGTCCTGGAACTAGATCTGTAGACCAGAGCTGGTCTTGAACTCATGAGATCCGCCTGCCTCTGCCTTCCGAATGGCGTGCGCCACCACCGCCCGACTCCCCACCCACCCATCTTATTTTTTAATGGAGCGATTTCTTCTGTGAGGGTGGGAGAATAGGAGGGAAAGTGAGAGTCATATTAATAAACAGAGTAAATTATTTTTAATCCTGCTCCTCGCTCAGTCCTTTATGAAGACGTCCTGAGGAAAGGGAAGCCAACTTCGTCCCCTGCTGTGTCCGGACCGTCCGGGCTCTCCGGTGGGACCCCACCTGCCCACCAGGCCGCCACCAGCGCCTGCCGCCGTTACCAGGGTGGGAATCGCTGCAGCACCCCTGCAGACCGGACTGCCGCAGGGAATCACGCCAATGACAGCCCCACGAGCCGCTCCACGCCTACAAACACAGCTCTTCCGCGTCATTTACGGAAGTCGGGGTCTGGGTCGCCTTGTTGTCTTCCGGTAGACGCAGAAAGAGAAAGCGGAATAGGTGGGGCGAGCGGCCAATCGCTTCCTCAGTGGGCTTTCCGGAGACTGAAGGTGCGTGCGAGGACACTTGGGGCGCTCCTCCAGGCTTCAGGCTCTGTGCGGCTGGTCTGTGCAGAGAGGACAGCCGCAGGGTCACGCGTCGCTGCGCCATGGTCCACCTTAGTGAGTGCGCGGGGCTTTGGGGCGCGTGCGGGCAGCGGGGACCCGGGCTAGGAGCGGCAGTATCGCCTCAGTCCACAATGTCTAGGTCGCATTGGCTAGCCTAGAACTCACTAGGTAAGACAGGCTGGCTTCGAACTCATATACAGCAAACTCATAGTTTGTCTCTGCCCCCAAATGTGTTGTGCTCCCCCGCGCCCGGACTCTCTTCTCAGTTTTTCCCAAAATCGTCGTAGTAGTCGTTTTGCAGATGAGGCAGCCAAGGGTACAAGGTCGCAACCTAGTAAAAATGGCAGGTCCGTAGTGCCCGCGTTTGGGGAAAAGGAGGTTTGTCCGAGATGGAAAGTTTTACAGATAAGTTGGTACCTAAGCCGGACGGAATAGATTGGAAGTGAGAACATTGCAGAAAGAGGAATTGGGCCTTCACCGTATATGACCTATTTCGTGTCTGCTGTTTTTGCGTCCTAACCAGTCATTTTTCTACAGCAACCTTTCTCTGCAAAGCGTACCATGGGGGCCACCTGACCATCCGCCTCGCCTTGGGTGGCTGTACCAACCGGCCCTTTTACCGCATTGTGGCTGCTCACAACAAGTGTCCCAGGGATGGCCGCTTCGTGGAGCAGTTGGGCTCCTTCGATCCGCTGCCCAACAGTAACGGAGAAAAGCTGGTTGCCCTCAACCTGAACCGGATCCGGTATTGGATTGGCTGTGGGGCTCACCTCTCTAAGCCTATGGAGAAACTTCTGGGTAAAACATCTCTGAGCTTAGATAATTTAAGAGGTTTTTATACCGGAGTCAGTTTTAGGATAATAGAAACAAAGGATGATTTTCACTCCATCCATGCTGCTCCGATCAGGAGGAAGGTGTGGTGATGTAATTGCCAGTGTTTTGGAACACTTGGAGTGACGGGGATGTTGTGGGGGTAAAAATGGAGCTTGTGTGTGTGTGTTGGGCGCCTGTCTGTCAGTTTCCTTTTTTCCCTTTAAAGTAAGGAGAGCAGTGTTAAGAAGCAGACAGTGAGCCTGGCCCATTTCTTGTCTGGGCCGTGGGTCAGGCGTTGCATCTCAGTTCTGGGAATCAGTCCTGGGAAGCGTTGGCATGTGCAGTATTACAGAGAAAATCCTGCTGCTTTTAGGTCTTTCTGGCTTTTACCCCCTGCATCCGATGATGATCACAAATGCTGAGAGACTTCGGAGGAAGAGAGCTCAAGAAGCGCTCTTAGCGTCGCAGAAAACAGAATCGGAGCCTGGAGAAACGGAAGCAAGCTGATGTCAGTGCACACAGTTGTGGCTGCAAGGCCAAGGGGCCTTCACAACTCTTGCGCAGAGCTTTCTGTTGGGTTTGAGGATCAATAAATGGATGTTTTCAAGTCCCAGTCTTCCAGCATAACCTGAGCAGGAATCAGACAGAGGTTTGTTGTCTGACATTAGAGCTGCTAGGCCTCCTGCCTTACCTGTGAGTCAGTGGGTGTGGGGAGGTTTGGTTTTGGGATTAGGCCCTGGTCTCATTGGGCGGTTTTACAATCTGCTGCCTTTTAGTCCTTTCCTGCGTCAAAGCTCTCAGCTAGAATGTGCTTTGCCCATTCAAATGCTTTCTTTAAGACAGGGTCTTGCTCTGCAACCCTGACTGGTGTGGAGCTTGTTATATGTGATACGTAGACCAGACTTTAGCGTGCAGCCTCTTACCCTGTCTCCTGAGTGCTGGGATTACAGGTAGAGCTACTATTGCCTGGCCCCAATGCTTTCTTTATCACTTGGGATCATCCCAAAACTCAAGAAGTTACCTTGTTTATTGTTTGTATTAGGGAAGATTTATATTGTTTTCTTGACATATGATCTCAGGTTTACACAGATGGGCTGTAAAAATTGCTTTGGGTTTTAATAACCTTTTGTTTTGTTTTTGTTTTTTAGATATAGGTTTTTTCTCTATTCAGTTCAGGTTGTCCTGGAACTCAGAGAGATCTGCCTGCCTCTGCCTGCCAAATAAATGCTGGGCTTAAAGGCGTGCACCGCTGCCTTTTAAGAGAGTAGTTAGAAGGAAGCTAATACAAAGCCCCTTCGTATAGCCAGCTCTGTACTGAGAAATTGCTTGTATTCAAGTATTACAACTCTAGTTCAATTATATCCATGTTCACACATGAGAGAGGCTGTCCCTCAACAGTAGGAAACTTTATAGACTCCATATGTCCTACAAAGTCTTCCTACATATATTGTTGCCTATATGAAGGGAAAAGTAGTGATAAGGGGACTTTTCTGTGGAGATGGCTCCAGGGGTAAAAGTGCTTTGCCATGTAGTTCTGAGGTCCTGAATTCAAATCCGTAGAACTCATCTAACAGGAAGTGGAAGAGTCTGCAGTAGCAGCATTCTACAGGAACATGGATGGGAGGGAAAGACAAAGGAATCTCCAGACACAGGCCAGCTGGTGTGCACAGTGGGAAAACAAAGGGGGCCACCCTGTCTCAAGAAAGGTCCAAAGTAAAGTTGACAGCTGTGGTCTTCCTCTGGCTTCCACACATGTGCTGTAGCAGGCACATACCCACCTAACTCACACATACATCATACACAGAAGACAGTCAGTGATAGAAGTGTTGTGCTTAGGCATCCTGAGTTTGGTATGTAAATGAGAGGCCTGTGAAATCAAATCTAACATGTGCTTCACCAGAACAATAGGACTCTATAGCTACTAGCATGAATTATTTGTTGAAGGGACACTGGCCTACTCGAGCATGTAGCTCTGGCAGGCTTTGCCCTTCTCCCCAGTTCCCTCTACCTTGCTAAAAACCATTAGATTAAATCCCTAAAGTTAGCCACCAGCATTTGTTCCTTATTTGGCTATTTGGCTACTTCATCCTCCTGAGGCTATCCAAGTGTTAAAAGTCCAGCAATCAAAAACCCCCTTTGGTTTACCCAACTAACATGCCCAATCAGTATACACCATGACATCCTCACGCAGACCTCCCGTTTTTCTCAAGGTTATTTGCTACTGTTTGCTGCCTGAGACCGAAAGCAGCCACTTTAACTTTTCTTCCCACTTAATAAAGGATCTTTCTGGAAAATAGATGTTTGGGTGTGGTTTGTGTCTAATCCTGGGTCTGAGAGGGAGCCTCTGCTACGTATGGGAGGTCTCCTTCACATGATCATTTGTTTTTCACAAGCTGGATAGATAATGTAGGTTTCAAACTTAGAGTAAGGCTAAAGTACTGGCAGGTTCCAAGGTCTGCTCATGCTCTGACTTGTCTTATCTGGGTTCTAGAAACATCTACTAGCAAATGCACTTTCTGAGATTGAGGCTCTCCAGTGTGGCTGCTGGTTTTCCTTCACTTGGCATGAGGGGTCTTTGAGAATAGATGGAGAGGGACTGCCTTTAGTTGTCTTTGATTTTTAGATATGAGGAGTGGGAAAAGCTGAGAAACCACTGAAATGTTTAAAATGAGAGGTTGAGTCAATCTTATGCCCACCAAAAGTGTCAGGTGACCGGAGCAGGGAAGTAGAATTAATTCTGTGCTGGCTAATATATATGGTCCTGCCTGGAATACAAAAGGTATTTTGTTTTTTCAAGACATGGTTTCTCTGTAACAACTCTGGCTGCCCTGGAACTGGCCCTGTAGACCAAGCTGACCTCAAATTCACAGAGATAAGCCGGTGTGTGCCACCACTGCCTGACTGATAAAAAGTGTCCTTAAAAACTTGCTTTGTGCGTTTTGTTTGACAGGCTTGCTTTCTCCTGCGTCAAGGACTGAGGGATTCATCCCAGGTGATGCCATTTGGGCCTGTATAGTTCTGTTTCGAGAATCCTAAAAAAACCACACATTACTTTAACCTTTGGGTTGAGTATGTTAAATTTTCTCAACGCAAATACATGACCATTCGCATTACATTTACTTATGTGATTTGTGTGTGTGGAGGTCAGAAGACAACTTGATGTTTTCTGTACTGGGGGTCATCAGGTATGACTGAGTATCCTTGCCAGACCGAGTAACCGCTTTCTATTGGGAAACTGCTAAATGTTTTCATGTGTCATTGAGTGAGCTTCTGTGTAAGAATCCTGGAGGCAGATTTGGGGGCAGGAAGGAGTGCTGGCGTGAGAATCGGGGAGGGCTTGCTTCCGCTCCAGGAGACTAGGCGCTCCACGCACGCAGAGAGCCGTATTTTCGCGTCCGAGATCAAGTCCGCTTTGCGGCTGCCGTAAAGCGCGCTGGCCCCGCCCCTGGTGCGCCGCCTGTGACGCAACGACCAAGGCTTTTTGGGCGGGAAAAAAGCGGTGGGTGGGTAGAGGCCGCGGGGTGCGGAGCGGCCGTGGACGGAGTTCCTCGGCGTTGGCGGAGCCGTGCTTTCCGGGTCATGGGGCTGCTGGAGCTCTGTGAGCAGGTGTTCGGCACCGCCGACCTCTACCGGGTGCTGGGCGTGCGGCGTGAGGCTTCCGACGGCGAGGTCCGACGAGGCTACCACAAGGTGTCCCTGCAGGTGCACCCCGACCGCGTAGACGAGGATCAGAAAGAGGACGCCACCCGCCGCTTCCAGGTATGTGGGCCCGCGTTCGGGCGGCCACCCGAGCTTCTCCCGCTCCGCGGGACACCATTCCCGGTACAGCTGATCCCCGGCCTGGAATTTTTAAGCATTTCTGGCCGCACGGTGTCAGCGGGAGGTTCAGGGTGACTTTTGGATGCTCCTTGCCTGCAGATCTTGGGAAGAGTCTATGCGATTCTGAGTGACAAGGAGCAGAGAGCAGTGTACGATGAACAGGGGACAGTGGACGAGGACTCTGGTAGCCTCAACCAGGACCGGGACTGGGATGCGTATTGGAGGTTACTCTTTAAAAAGGTAACAGGGCTTTGATTAATTCCACCGTCCAGTTCATAAGTACAGTTCTCGAAGTTAAAGCGGTCTTCTTTGTTATTAGATATCGCTAGAAGACATTCAAGCATTTGAAGAGACGTACAAGGGTTCTGAAGAAGAGCTAGCCGATATTAAACAGGCCTATCTGGACTTCAAGGGCGACATGGATCAGATCATGGAGTCTGTGCTTTGTGTGCAGTACACAGACGAACCCAGGCTAAGGAACATCATTCAACAAGCTATTGATGCCAAGGAGGTCCCATCGTACAATGCCTTCGTCAAAGAGTCTAAACAAAAAATGAGTGCAAGGAAAAGGAGGGTAAGTCTGAATGCTATTCTATTCGTAGCATATCTCAGCTGCTCCAGAAAGGGATCGTGGTATATTTAAGACGCTGGAAATCAGGACTGCTGACATGGGGCTCACCTGCGGCACTCATCTTGCAGGCTTGTCAGATCATGAAGAAAACCCTGGTTGTTTGCCTTTTTATCCCCCCCGGTATGTTATGCTGAAAATGATTTTACTTTATGGCTTGTTTGAAATCACCCCAAAGTGTTTCTGAAACACTTCTCACATGGGGCAGACCTTGTAGCTTTGCTATCTTAGGGAAGGCAATGTTCGGAACTTGGTTACCGTGGCATAGGCTGTGTGGTCCATTTGTGGTTGGTGGTCAGAGAGATGTTGGAGTGTGTTGGTCCACACCAAGGAGGCTAACGTAAGAGATTGCCGCTTCTGAGGTCAGGCTGGATTGGTTGTCTAGTGTGTGGTAGGTCCCAAATTAAGTCTCCAAAATGGCTCAGAAGAGGCGGAGAAAACAGATTCATTTTTTTAAAATTCTGTAGATGCATGTAATTATTAAAAATTGTAAACTAAAGAGCTGGAGAGATGACTCTTACAGAGGCCCAAGTTGATTTCCAGCACCAAAGTCAGGTGCTTCACAACTGTCTATAACTTGGGCTTCTAGGGATTTGACCCTTCTGTTCTGGTCTCTGTAACCCCTGAGTGGTCTCTCCAGACCCCATCTGCTCTTTTTTTAAAGCACACTTGAAGTGAGTCTTTCTGACCACTCTGAGGAACACTTGATTGCTGAGAGCTCTGAGGACTGGGACTTGTGATTAAGCCAGGGTTGTTAGAAATGATAGCATAGGAATTCAAGGTAGGGAGCATCTGTGTTCATACTCTTTGGAAAAGTGGCCATGGACTGCTATTAAAGCAACAGCAGTCCTTCATAAAGTGCTTCATCTTTGCTTTCACAATGAGAGAGCTTCCTGGAGAGCAGGCAATTTAAGATTTTAGGGATCTGGTGGGCACTTGAGTTGTCTTTGTGGTTCTAGTAGGTGGGCAAAGAGCCAGAGCTTTTGGATGCATGGAATTGCAGAGAAAAACTGACCTTTGTGTATGGGGCCTGCTTTACTGGAATAAGAGACTGCCGTTTCTGTTGCTCAGAGGGAAGAAGTGAGAAGGCACCATTTTGGTTGTGTCGTGCCCACCGCGCTAGTCATTTTAATCATTTTCTAGGTAAAACTAGGACAGCTGTACTCGAACATGCAATTTTAGTTTGAGAAACTTGATGGCGGAAAGACAGTTTGAAAACTGCCTACCAGTGTGAGGGGATTTAGGAGATGCTGCATTTGAGAGGTGAGAGGAAAACAAAGCTTGTTTTTGTTCTGTAATAACAAGATCCCCATTTATTATTATTCCTACTATTAGTAAAATTCTTTCCTAATTAGAAATTTTTACAAGGAGTTAGGGCCGTGTATTTTATAATTTTTTTAATTGATATTTATTGAGCTCTACATTTTTCTCTGCTCCCCTCCCTGCCTCTCCCCTCCCCACTTCAATCCTCCCCCAAGGTCCCCATGCTCCCAATTTACTCAGGAGATCTTGTCTTTCTCTACTTCCCATGTAGATTAGAGCTATGTAAGTCTTTCTTAGTGTCCTCATTGTTGTCTAAGCTCTCTGGGATTACGGTTTGTAGGCTGGCTTTCTTTGCTTTATATTTAAAGACCACCTATGAGTGAGTACATGTGATAATTGTCTTTCTTTGTCTGGGTTACCTCACTCAAAATAATGTTTTCTACCTCTATCCATTTTCATGCAAAATTTAAACTGTCATGTTTTTTTTCCTCCTGTGTAGTACTCCATTGTGTAAATGTACCACATTTTCCTTATTCATTCTTTGGTTGAGGGGAATTTAGGTTGTTTCCAGGTTCTGGCTATGACAAACAAAGCTGCTATGAACATAGTTGAGCACATGTCATTGTGGCAAGATTGAGCATCCTTTGGATATATTCCCAAAAGTGGTATTACTGGGTCTTGAGGAAGGTTGTTTCCTAATTTTCTGAGAAATCGCCACACTGACATTCAAAGGGGCTGTACCAGCTTGCATCCCTACCAGTGATGCAGGAGTGCTCCCTTTTCCCAACAACCTCTTCAGCATAAGTTGTCATCAGTGGTTTTGATCTTGGCCATTCTTACAGGTGTAAGATGGAATCTCAGAGTTGTTTTGATTTGCATTTCTCTGATGACTAAGGATGTTGAACTTTCCTTAAGTGTCTTTCAGCCATTTTAGATTCCTCTGTTGANGCCATACTGACATCCTAAGGGGTTGTACCAGCTTGTATTCCCACCAGCGATCCAGAAGTGTTCCCTTTTCCCCACAACCTCTCCAGCCTAAGTTGTCATCAGTGTTTTTGATCTTGGCCATTTTTACAGGTGTACATTTCTCTGATGACTAAGGATGTTGAACATTTCCTTAAGTGTCTTTCAGCCATTTTAGATTCATCTGTTGAGGGTTTCTGTTTAGGTCTGGACTCCATTTTTTTTTTTAATTGGAGTATGTGATCTTTTAATGTCCAATTTCTTGAGTTCTTTGTATATTTTGGAGAGCAGGCCTCTGTCTGATGAGGGCCATGTATTATTACAGTTACTGCCTTTAGATGTTCTTGTGGTATTTTGGCATATTTTGTTAAGTGAAGGCAGCTTTGAAGTCAGGTTAAAAAAAAGCTAAAACTGAATTTCCTAATGTTTTCTCTACTCAGAAAACATTTTAAATTTATGTGTGTTTGTGCGTGTTTGCTGGTGCACTGTGTGTGCATGAATGTGGGTGCTCACAGAGGCCAACACGAGGCCACCGAGGCTATTGATTTCCAGGAGCTGGAGTGACAGGCAACCTGATGCTGGCGTGTCCTCGAAGGGCAAGAAATGCTGCTAGCCCGCTTGAGAAAGCCTTTGAACCACAGTGGTTCACAAGACTTCCACCAGTGCTCTGTACAAAATTGGGTTTCAGACGAAGAACTTGAAGTGTCTGATACCTGGCCTACCCTTTGGAGCCATTCCAGGCTATGTGACCCTCCAGTCCACCTAGTAGATTGTTTTCCTTTGTGTCACCATATGGTTTGTGATGCTAGAGTACTTGTGCTCTCTAGGATAGAACAGAAAGGCTTACAAGAACCAAAAGTGTATGCCGCCTTCTGTTGAAAACCGTGTGTGATTTTATTCTTGTATCCCCAGCACTAGAAGGGGTCTTAACATTTTCTTTTTTCTTTTTAAGTTTTTTGAAACAGGGTTCCTCTGTTTAACAGTCCTGGCTGTCCTGGAGCTTGCTCTATCAACCAGGCTAGCCTTGAACTCACATAGATCCGTGCCTCCCAAATGCTGGGATTAAAGGTGTGGACCACTGCCTGGTTTAGCATTTTCTTTAAGGGAAAAAGGTGTAAATCTGTTATTTCTTGGTTGCCATGGAGTCTGATGAAAGTTTCTGTTCAGGCTCAGGAAGAGGCTAAAGAGGCAGAGTTGACCAAAAAGGAGCTGGGGCTGCAGGAAGGAGTGGACAACCTGAAAGCACTCATCCAGGTAAACGTGGCTGGCTTCTCTCACAGCCTCACGGTCTCTTGTGTGTGTGTATGCTCTTGGGAATGGGTTCCAGTGTGTTTTGTTTTTGTTTTCTTTTAAGGCGTAGTTACACATAACTTGCACCATGTGTACAGTGGAGTAATTTTCCCCTCCACATTGTACAGCTGTCACCCCTGGTTCTGGAATATTGTTACCACTCCCAAGGAAACCGATACCCATTATTAGTCACTGGCCCCAACTTCCTTGGCCCCAAATCCTCCAAACCATGAAATACTTTGTCTCGTTGGACAGTGTTGCATTTTGAAAGATGTATTTTAACTTCTCAAACAGAGCAGACAAAAGGATCGGCAAAAGGAAATGGACAATTTTCTGGCTCAGATGGAAGCAAAGTACTGCAAACCTTCCAAAGGGAAAAGGACGGCTCCCAAGAAGGAAAAGAAATAATAGAATTTTTCTCTTCATATGTCAATGGTGCCTTGGTAGACAAGGTGAAGGCAGGTGTTAGCCTAACCTTTGAGAGAAGTTTTTTTCTGCTTAAAATACCTGGATCGCCTAAGCCAGGCAGGAGTCACCCCTAGAGTTTGCTTTGTGAGGGGTTCACATGAAGGGTGTAGCGGTGATGGTGGGAAGTGTGGATTCGATGTCTGCCTCCATGGGTTTTCTGCCTAGGGAGCTGATTTGCATGCACTTAAGAAATATTCTCCCTGCAGGGAGAACTGCAGATGGAATGTAAAGTGAAATTTTAAAAAATGTAAAAAAAGAAATACTCTACCCACAGAGAATACCCGAACAGCTGTTTCAATAATCCTAGATGCTCTTCCTGTTCTACTGTTACGTTTTTGTCTTCTGTCCTTGTGGGAACAGAAGTGGGTGTTCATATTACTGCAGATTTTTTTTGTAAGATTGTATGTGGCTAAATAAAGAAAAACTTAAAAGGTCTGGTGGATGTGTTTCAATCTGTTTTTGTTGTTATTTTTCGTTTAGACAGGGTTTCTTTGTGTAGCTGTGACTGTCTTGGAACTCTGTTAGCCAGGCTGGCCTTGAACTCACAGAACTCCGCCTGCCTCTTCCTCTCCAGTGCCACCACTGCCCAGCCAATACTCAGGTTTTTTTTAAGGGTGAGTACTAACTTGAGGGAACGTACACATGAAAAGCTGCTTAGAAAGGAAGTCCACCCGTGTACTCACTGTGCAGACTTGTGAGAACAGGTTTCCATGTATACCCGGGGTTGAGAGGTATTTGCTACAGTATGTGGTGTATTTGTAGTGACTGTTCAAGTCCTGGCTGTCAACTAATACAGAAATTAAGCCTCTTCCTCCAGGGCATTATAATTCAAGTGTTGTAATATGGGCGGCAGGGCTGCATCCCGGCCTCCCCAGCTCCTGGCTGCCTGGGTAGCTTATGCCCTGAAATAATTACATGGAAACTGTATTCTTTTAAACATTGCTTGGCCCATTAGCTCTAGCCTCTTCTTGGCTAGTTCTTACATATTGAACCAACCTATTTTTAATAATCTGTGTAGCCCACGAGGTGGCTTACCAGGGAAGATCTTAACCTGCGTCTGTCTGGAGTGGGAGAATCATGGCAACTCCTCAATCTGCTTTTTTCTCCTAGCATTTTGTTCTGTCTACTCCGCCTATCTAAATTTTACTCTATCAGAGGCCAAGCAGTTTTTTTTATTACTTAACCAATGAAACAACAGATAGAAAGATGACCCTCCTCTATCATTCAAGGTAGATACATCACACATTTTTTGTGATCACAAGCACGCTGGAACTTTTGAATTGAAATATGATCCGGTGTGGGAGATCTGAAGCATATTATCTAATTGATGGCATAAGAACTGGGAATAATTTAAGTCACTTTTGCTGGGTGGTGGTGCCACATGCCTTTAATCCTAAACCTTGGGAAGCAGAGGCAGGTGGATCTGTAATTCTAGTTCTAATTGTTCTTAATAATAAAAACTTGGAGTCATTTATCAGGGGTGAAGGGTCAGAGAGAAGTAGAGCAGCCAACTACTAGAGAGTTCTTACCTCTACCAGTGCTCAGACCAAAGAGGTGATCCTGTTGCTATGAATCCTCAGTCTGTCCTGAGCTCCTGTCTCCTCCCACCTTATATTCCTCTCTCTGTCCAGCCATATCACTCCTGTCTCCACCTTTCTAGTGCCGGGATCACCTTTATGTGAGCTGTTTCTATCTACTGAGTGCTGGGGTTAAAGGTGTGGGCCACCACTGCCTGGACAGTGTTCTAGCTCTGCACTCTGATCTTCAGACAAGCTGTTTTTTTTGTAACATAAAATACCACATGGATCTCTGAGTTTGAAGCCAGCCTGATCTACAGAGCAAGTTCCAGGACAGGCTTCTAAACTACAGAGAAACCTGTCTTCACCTTTGCGTTTCCAGTGCCCTTGAGAAGTTCTCCGATTGCAGTGCTCTTGGAGTGGAGAACTGGCTCAGTGTAGAGTACTCACATCACAAGCATGAAGAGTGAGCTTGGAGCCCGGCCACTGACAAAAAAACCAAGTTCAGCAAGAGACTCTGTCTTAAAAAATGAGATGGAGAAACAGGAAAGGTACCCAACAACATCTGGCCCCCACATGTATGCGCACACAAAAGCCCCTGATGTGAAGCAGGCATATGAGGCTGTCCTAGGAAAAGAAACTGACTTTTTACCAGTGCTGATACCTTTTGTTAGCTTTTTGATTTCTGCTTTTTAAAAGGAAAGTGTGGCTGGCAAGATGGCTCAGTAGGTAAGGCACCTACCCTGAGACTGATGGTCTGAGTTCAGCCTGACTCCGATGGGAGTTACCTTGAAGGTGGTCCTGACCCCGCCCCCCCCCACATGCATTCACACAAACATTAAGATGTGATAGAGCTGGTCTGTGGTGGCGCACACTTTAATCCCAGCACATGGAAGGCAGAGGCAAGTGGATCTGAGTTTGAGGACAGGCTCCAGAGTAACACAGAGAAACCTTGTCTTGAAACCCCTCCCCCCCCCCCGAAAAAAAAAAGTAATAAAGTTTAGGAGTGACATTTATTTGATGAGTATCTCAGATTTTTGGCAGCACTTTCTTCTAAAAATATGGTAAAATAGTGCAGTTCTCCAGAAATTAATATAAGTAGAAATATTGTGAAGCCAGTGATCTGCATCATCCGTGTGTATGGAATCTCACTGAACTGTATACGAATCAGACTGGTGATTGGTTACAGACAACATGAGCAGTGATTTGGGGCTGCTTTTCATTGTCACGTCTTTGGGTACAATCTTTCCTACCCAGTGGAGTAGCTGAAAGAAGACAGTAACGACACAGAACACTTGCCCATGCAGTCTTTGGCAGATACGCTAGTGTTTCTCGGACAGTTGTACCAAGATAACCCTTGAAGATGGACCAAGCTGCTGTCTGTAGGAGCTGTGCATTATCTGGTGCCTGAGCACTGGTGCATGAAGCCCTCCATGTATTTGCAGTCTGCTGCAGCCTTGCGGGTTCTCACTTGTCCTTTGGTCACTGCCTGGTTCTAGAGATGGGTCCACCTCTGCTTTGAGGTTTTGTAGACCCATGTGACTGAGGACCTGCCAGATACAGAATTGCAGAGTGACATTAGTCAACAGTTTATATTTGGTAATGAGCATCACAGTTCATATCTTAGGAACCTTTGCATAAATTACTAGTGGACTTTAAATTTGGAGACTGTAAATACTGCGAAGTACACATTCACCAAGGCACTAAAAGCCATGTTTAAATAGTCTACCCTACTGAAGAAACAACTTGTCTAAGAAGTGAAAGCAAGCTGGGCTTGGTGGCACATACCTTTCAGCACTTGGGAAGCAGAGGCATGAGGATCTTCATGAGTTCAAGGCCAGCGTGGTCTGCAATGTGAGTTCCAGAACTGTCAGGGTTGAACAGTAGAGACTCTTGTCTCCAAGCAAAATCAAACAAAATCAGAACTGTAGCCTAGTTGCTGAAGAGCCTAAGACACACATTTATTAACCTAAGTGTTAAAACTAATTAACAGCTGACTAAATGTGTAGCTGATGTTGTAGCAAGATTGGAGGCTTTAAAAAAGATTTTTTTAATATTTATTTACTTATTATGGTCACACTATTCTGTTTGCATATATGTTTGTAGGCCAGAAGAGGACACCAGACCTCATTACAGATGGTTGTGAGCCACCATGTGGTTGCTGGGAATCGAACTCGGGTCCTTTGGAAGAGCATGCAATGCTCTTAACCACTGAGCCATCTCTCCAGCCCTTAAAAAAGATTTTTTTAAACTTATGTATATGTGTGTGCCTATGAGTGTGTGCCACACATGTACAGATGCCTGTGGGGGCCGGAAGAGAGAGTCTGATCTCTCGGATCTGGACTTACAGGTGGTTGTGAGTTGCCTGACATGGATGCTGGGAGCCTTGGGTTCTCTGGAAGAAGCAAATCTTCTTAACCACTGAGCCATTTTTCTAGTCCCCCAAGTTTTTTGTTTAAAAAGTAATTTACCTTAAATATTCGTTTACTTGGTATTAAAAAACAACGGAAATTTGGAGCTTTTAAAAGGCCTTTCTTTTATACCCATCTTCCAAAACAATGCTAAGATGATTTACTCAGATGAGGGACAGCTAAATATAGAAAGTCTGCAGGAAAGGAGAATGTGTAGGAACAAAGACAAAATCAAGAACTGCAGTCCCACCTGTACCTGCAGCCCCTCTGCCAGGTCGGGCCTGGTGAGGATACTCAGATGCACAGGAATTTCGGTACTGTGTGTCTGGCTAAAAGAAAAGAAAAGATGTCTTAGGATGCAGCTTCTCCCCCCAAAGACCGTTGTTTGAGGCTTAGAGTGCATTAGCTAATTTTCTACTGCTTTCATAAACCAGGGCAATTTACAGAAGGAAGGGTTTAGTGAGTCTGAGGCAGGGAGGCAGAAGGCATGGCAGCAGGAACAGCTAAAGAGTGCATATCTTGAATTTCAACAGGAAGCCGAGAGATCTAGCTAGTAATGGTGGGAGTCTTCAAACTTCCACGCATCCTCAGTAGCATACTTCCTCTAGCCAGGCCTCCTAAACTGCCCAAACAGCACCACTCCTAGGGACCAAGTATTCATATGTCCTACACTCTAACCACACAGGAGAACCTTGACATTAACAATGAAAAACTGTCACCTGCCAACCTGGGGTCACTGTGTTGAATTCCAAGAAGAAAGTTTCAAGCCAAATGCCCACAATGCGATTTGCTAACTTGTAAGAATTGCATGTTCTATAACTTCATTAATATGTGTTTAAGAAAATCTTTTTTTTAAGAAATTATTTATTTATTCATTATGGATACAATATTCTGTCTGTGTGTATATCTGCAGGCCAGAAGAGGGCACCAGAACTCACTACAGATGGTTGTGAGCCACCATGTGGTTGCTGGGAATTGAACTCAGGACCTTTGGAAGAGCAGGCAATGCTCTTAACCACTGAGCCACCTCTCCAGCCCAAGAAAATCTTAACATTTACAAATAATCCATATGGTGTAATGTTGCAACTGGACAAAAGGGATGTTTTCTTTTGCCTTCATTGTGTTGGGATTGCAGGTTTGCAACACCACAGCTGCCAGGAGAATGCCATCTGATTTCACAGCATGCCTTTTCCAGAGCCAACACTTGGTGAGAGGGAAGGACACCTATGACTTCATGATGATGAGATGGACTCAGACTTTCCATTTACTTTTTAGCTTTATGAAACTCAAACATTTCAAAGTTACTTCAGTTGGCTGTAGAGGTTCATGTCTTTAATCCCAGCCATTTGGAGGCAGAGGCAGGTGGATGAATTTGAGGCCAGCCTGGTCTACAGAGCAAGTTCCAGGACAGACTCTAAAGCTACACAGAGAAATCCTATCTCGAAAATTAAAAACACACCACCATCAACAACCAGATACTCCCTTAAAAGTAAAAGAGCTAGCAGGTGCGCAGACGCGGGGAGGCAAGTGCCAGCTCTTAGAACACTGTCAGGGAGAGCGTCTTCTACTCAGGCCCTCAATCTGACATCACTTTTTGGAGTACTTTCCACAGAGTGGAGCAGAAGTGAAGTTAGGCTGACTGGATGTGCACTGGAGTTTATTGTGTTTATGCTCAGAGTAAGCTGCTGAGGATGTTCAGTTTATGAATAAAGGCATTTTACTACCAAAAAAGTGAGAATGGGGACAACTGAAAATTTTAAGGAGAAACGCTTAGTATTTTTATCATTAGAACATCCAACTGTTTTCCTTAGAGTTAATGAAACCACTAGATAAAGTCCTAAGTTTGCCTAACATATACCCTACCCCCATTCTTTCCCTAACTACCAAGGACAAATAGGAGCTGGGTAGGTAGCTGTCTGCTGTAATTCCAGCACTTGGGAGTGGGAGGCAGGATTAGGAGCTCAAGACCAGCATGGGCTGAGACGCTGTGTTAACCCCCTCCAAAACCAATAAATGGGAAGCACTTTACCAAAAATGACTGAGTTGTGTTGGGTCTAGAGAAGACAGGTAAAAGGAGCCTTTCTTGGGGCTGCTGGTTCGGCTCGTCCACCACTGCACTGCGAGCTCTGCTGGAGTCACCGTGGGCTTTCTGCAGAGGAGAGACAGCTAACAGTACATGTGTGGGTGTGGCGGGGGCGCTGCTGTGCACGTGCCAGATCAACACTGTCTCGCATCAGCAGCGGTGGTGCCCGCTGCCAACAGCTCCAACCCCACTGCCACCACCTAGAGCCTGACTTATTTTTGAGAGAAGAATTAAGGTCACCATAAACTCTGCAGAACTACCACTGCCCAAGAGACTACAGGGCACACACCTGAAGGCTGTGTGAATGAGACTTACTGCTGGCCACTGCGACCCCATGTTGCTCAGACGTTCTACTTCAGCTGTTCCTATAGGTGGCAGCAGATTGTTCCGACCCAGGGGCATCGGTGAGGGAGAAGACAGCGTGTCTGCAGTCGCTGGACTGCAGAGCCCACCAGCAAAACCGAGATGCAAAGCACACAAGCAAGTGGATGAGAAAAGCAGCCAGTAAGTCACTAAGTCTAGTGTGCTCACCTAGATTCTCAGAAAAGGGGAGCAATTTTGGAAAGAGTCCCCCCCCCTTAAATTTCACAAATACAAATCTTCAGCAGAATCAACTGAATGATCTCATCCAGTATTTGTATTGCACCAAAACTTAAAAAAAAAAAAAAAAAACGAACTGGATTTAAACTACAGACAATTCATCGTATGACTACTTGAGTATTTGTTTCCAGGCATAGCTTAAATCTTATAGTCAAACTCATTCTCTTACTATTCACAGAACTATTGGTACTAGTTTTATAGTCAAACTCATTTTCTACTAGTCACATAACTATTGGTACTAGTTTTGCCAGTTTCAGAAATTTTGCTTTTGAAACCTACACTCGGGATCCTCTGAGGATTTCTTCTGCAGGCCATGGTGTCCCAGCACGTGAATGGCTTGTGCTGATTGGATGAAGGGTGCGTGGTGGGGGGTTGCGTCTCCTGGCGGACTGTGCTGTATATGACAAAGATGACGTACTGAGGTCCAGGGCTCGGTTTGGCCAATTTCGGTTTGAAAGGATGGAACTGGAGCCAGGCCTCATAAGTAGCTTGTCATCAAGATCTCTGGTGGCCAAATCAGAAAGCACAATGAAAATCTCTAAGTAAAAGAAGACAGGGCTCTGGGTAAGAAGCCTCAACCTAAGACGTTCAGGGAAGAGAAGAGCCGAGCGGCTTCCAGAGGCTACCTAGGATTCAGGCAGCCTGTTAGACAGCAGAGGCTGGGCTGGAGTTTGAGATCCTTCTCCTGGCCTCTCCAGTCCTGGATTATAACTATGTACCTGACAATGACCTGTTTCACTCATACCTTTCTAGAATGAAGATTTGGTTACATGCCCATGGCCCACTTGCCACAGCCACTTGCTCAGTTGTGGGGAAGGCAAAGCTGATAGGTATTTAGTGCGTTCTGCCCACAGTCCTGCATTTTCTGAGATGAGGAAATGTCCTCAGGGTTAGGTCTCAGACACCAGGGTGGCCTCACTGGTTTGGTACTGATTTGTTATTGAAATAGTGAGCTAAGTTTCAGGGAATCTAATGCCTTCTTCTGGGCTCTGTGGACACTGCACACACGGCACACACATATATGTGGAAGTGAAGTACTCACACAAATAAAAATAAACCTTTAAAGTGCTGAGCTAGTGGGAACAAGCAAAAGGTTCCTGCTACATGCTGCCCAGGGCAGGAAGAACAGAGCAGACCCCTGTCTGCAAAAACAGCTAAAGAATGCAATTCTCCCATAAGCCTGGTGCTGCCCTACAGACACAGCAGTGGGCTTGGTTTGTGTTTTACAAAGACACCAGGAACTCTGGCGATTCTGAGACATCTAGGAGACAAGATGGAGGAGAGTGGAAGAAGTGAGGAGCCTGCCTCTGCCATGACTGCTCAGTCCTTCAGGTCTGAGCTGTATCCAGGGCCTTGGTGTTTGGGAGGGTTTGGGAAGGAGAGTGCCCAAGTTCTAGCCTTAGAGAGCTTTCTTGTCTTCCTAAGTAACCACTCACTCATGTCTTCTTTTTCTAATTCACTCACTATATTCTAATTTTAAAAGTATGGATTTAGCCAGGTATGGTGACACACTCAGCACTCGGGAGGCAGAGGCAGGCGGATCTCTGTGAGTTCGAGGCCAGCCTGGTCTACAGAGTGAGTTCCAGGACAGGCTCCAAAGCTACAGAGAAATCCTGTTTCAAAAAACTAAAAACAAAACAAAACACCCCCCCCCAAAAAAACTAAAAACAAAACAAAACAAAAAAGAGTCATGGATTTTAGCTGCTCTCTATCGGTGTTTTATTCTGTCAACTCCTTTCTTGTCCGATGGTGAGTTCAATTACCAGCTTTTACTAGGTGACATTTAAGTCAGTCTCCAGGCTTGATCTCTCCACAATCTTTGAAGGTGGTCGATTACTGAGAACAGAGCCCAAAAGAAAAACGAACCTCCTGAGCTTGAAAACTCAGAACTGACTTTGATCCATTTGTCACTACAATATCCCCCAAGCTCAGCCATTTCCTTCTTTGAGTGCTGGGGATCAACTACTCAATAGACAAGTATCTGCAGCCAAGCTCTGTGGTCCTGTTCACCATCACCCTGTGCCGGTGCTGGCTGCACCATTGCCCTGCACTAGTGCTGACTGCACACCCTTACAAAAGTTAGTCTCACTTCCTTTTGCTGAAGTATAGTTCCTGTCTCATGCTGTGTGATCTGCCTCAGCATCCTAAATGTGACTATATGTCCTCAAAAAATGTCTTATACAAAATACTTATAATGCCTTTCTGCATAATAAACCCCACCTAAAGACAACCTAGGGACAACAGCATAGATAAATTATGGTGCTCATCTATAACTACAGGAACAAATACTAACACTGCATGCATAGCCATCCACAATCTGATCACATTTATTCATAAATTCTTTCCCACTAATTTTACTGTGGACTATTTAAATTCTACAATATTGTCAATTATCTTTGATTGGAAGCATTGAAGTTCTAAAATATTACTTCTTTTGTGAGCCCGATGTGTTGGCACATGTCTTTAATCCCAGCACCCAGGAAGCAGAAGCAGGTGGATCTCAGAGATTAAGACTGGCCTTGTCTACATAGTTGAGTTCCAGGACAACCAGAGCTACACAGACTGTGCCACAAAAACAAAACAAAACAAAAAAAAAACAAACAAAACCAAAACCAAAACAAACAAAAAAACCTTTTTCTGTAAGAGTGTGTGTACTGTATGAAGGTCAGAGGACAGCTTTAGGGGCCAGTGCTCTCCTTCCATCACTTCAGTCCCTCAAGTCAAACTCAGGTTGTCAGGCTTGGTAGCAGGCACCTGTATCCATTAAGCAATCCCTCTGGCCCAAAAGCATTAAAGTTCTGACATCTGACACTTTTATGCCAAAATGGTCTCCTTTTTCCTAAGTATTTTACATGTTTACTCTTTTCACGCTGTTCTTCTTACTAGGATGGCCTTGTAATGATCTAAATCCCTAGACACAGACTTTCCTTTGGGGTGGCACAGCACACACATGACACTCAGGCACACACTGCTGTATGTGGCCGGGTCCTGGGTCTCCTTCCCAGGGATAGAGAGAGACTTTGCTCCTTAACTTTTATCCTTTCTTGTGTCTGCCACTCAGTGGCCTGGTGGTGACTGGTTGCTTTCCTCTCTTTCTCAGCATTCTACTTAAGCTCTCCAGTGAATGAAAAGCCGAGCTTCTTACAGGAGCTTATCCATCAGGGAGAGGTTCCTTGGCTGTAGAGGCATCCCGTGAACCAAGAGGCCATTCACGTTTGGCTGGTGACCACTTGCTTGACAGAAACTCATCTATGTGTCAAAAGCATACATTGGTTGGTGAAGACACCTGCTCCATTTGCTAAGTTTGCAAAATTATTTTTCCAGTTAGGTTATTTACACCTTCCCCCAACCTTGTGCCTTAACTTTACAACAGCTGACCAGTAGCTGACAAGGTGCACTGTCAAGAGAACAGGGTTCTTTTCTTTGTTCTGTATTTCTTTTTTTTTTTTTTTTAAAGTTTATTTATTATGAATACATTGTTCTGCCTGCATGTATGCCTGCATGCCAGAAGAGGGCATCAGATCTCATTACAGATGGTTGTGAGCCACTATGTGGTTGCAGGAATTGAACTCAGGATATCTGGAAGAGTAGTCAGTGCTCTTAACTGCTGAGCCATCTCTCCAGCTCCTTGTTCTGTATTTCTAAGTGACAGCTGATCAACACAGATGAAAATTAATGGCTACTCTCATGGGCAGAGAGAAGCATTATTACTGCTTACAAGAGAAAAGAAACCCTAAATAGTAAAATCACAAGCAAACTTTGGAACAAGAGGAAGAAATAAGTGCAAATAACTGATCTTTTTTACTAGCACATGATCCTGAGCTCTGCAGACTCACTAGCCTAGAGTGCTGGTTCTTGATCATTCATTGTTCTTTCTTTTATTTTTTATTTTTAAAATTCTTATGACAGTGTCTCTCTGTATTGCCCATACTGGCCTTGAAATGGTGGGCCCAAGTAATCTTCCTGTGCCATCCTTCTGAGTAGCTGGAACTACAGGGGTATATCTCCCTACGTCTGTTCCATGTGATAACCTAAATTCCAAAGGCTTTATAAGGAGCTAATCTTAGTTGTTCTAATACTACCAGCATGAACTGGCCATCATTCAGTGCCCTTTAACCACCTCTTCTGCTATAGAAGAGATGGCATACACCTGTAATCCCAGCACTTGAGAAACTGAGGCAGGGAGATTGTGAGTTCAAGGCTGGCCTGAACTCACAGTGAGTCTGAGGCCAGCCTGGGCTATACAGTGAAGCCATCTCTTAACAACATGATTATGGAGTTGTGACCCGGCCACAGAGGAAGCAAGATGTGATTGCCTCACTGAGTAAGGTACCAAGCCACGTGGCTAACATAGACAAGAATAATGGGCTAATATAAGTTATCAGAGTTAATAAGAAGCCTAAGCTAATGGGCCAATCAGTTTATAAGTAATGTAGAACTCTGTGTGATTTCTTTGGAACTTAACAACTGTGGGAACCAGGCAGGACAGGAAGCCTCAGACAACAAATGGCACCCAGGTGGACAACTACATCCACATAAAGTCTGAGAAAGCTTGGGGAGTAATTCTAGACATAAAATAATAGAGCCAAGCATGGCTTACTAATAGCAGCATTTTCTCAGGTGGGCTCTGCTTGCTAGAGGCAAGCACTCTCATTTAAGAGAGACTTCCTGACTCAGCTTTAGCTATAAAACCTTGCAGCTCTTTTAAGAGGCCCTGCCACAAACACTTAAATGGTGTTGATGAAAAGCTGACCACATGCTTTTTGGTTTTTCAGCTGTAACAGGAAAAAAATCCATGCTGTTTTAAAATGCTGGCTTTCTGGGCTGTCCTGCCAGTGCAAACTCTGACTCTTTCAGGCAGGAGTTCTGGCTACAGAGCATTTGAGTGTGGTTTGTGGGCAGACTGCTGCAGCTTGCTTGCTGGGAGGGACCTTGAAACACCATAGAGTTGTGGCAATAAACATGGCTACAGCCAGTACCTCTGCCATGAGGCTGGAATCACAGAAAGCTAAGGAATGGGCTGGATCCAGCTGTCAAAGCCACGGCTTTAATCATACCCATATTGCTTAGCAAATTAAAGATTCACATGGTCAGAAAAAGAGAGATATACAGTAAAGATAGATTCAAAGACAAAGAAAACCTCTAAATGGTTTACAGTATGTTTAAAAAATATAGCCAGGCGGTGGTGGCGCACGCCTTTAATCCCAGCACTCGGGAGGCAGAGGCAGGCGGATCTCTGTGAGTTCGAGACTAGCCTGGTCTACGAGAGCTAGTTCCAGGACAGGCTCCAAAACCACAGAGAAACCCTGTCTCGAAAA